AGTTCCATTCAATTCAACTTTTATTGTACAGGCACAGATCCGATAGGGAAAAATTTCAAGAAAACATTTTGTATTTTTCTTCTTCTTCATGCATTAGTAGCTATATGTTACTTTACACAATATTCATGAACATCTGTAAACATTTTCCTAAAGTTTTCAGAAAAGCAGCCATGGGCACAGTTACACTATGAAAATGAATCAGGAGATGGACCAGGGTGTTGGAAGTTGGTTTGAGGTCATGTGGTAGTCACACAATTTTTGGGTTGAAGTGTGCATCCTATTGAGAAAACTTTCAGTCTATTTTAAACTGTGTTGTATATAGGTCAAAGGGACTACAAGGGCTTATATAGTTGCATTTGAGACACTGTACTTTGCCCATCTGCCCTCGTTCTGGTGGCTCCTTACACTGCTGCTGTTTTTAATATTCATTTTATTATTTTATTTCTTTCAAACTGGGATAGTGCTAGTTCAATGTTACAGATAGGGAAAAAATAACATAAATCAGATGACAAAATTTCCCTGCAGCCTGATACATGTGCATGGAAACAGACACATACATGATAGCAGAGGATATACAGAACTAGCAGCCAAGAAGGAGAGGGAGTGACAGAACTGGCAACCAAGGTTGGCAAGAGGGAAGGCACACCAGTGAGTAGCAAAGAAAAACTACAGTGGACCCTTGACTTACAGATGGCTTGACTTACAGACTTTTTGAGTTACATACTTCTCTGGCCGCAAAATTTAGGTTTGACTTGCAGACTGTGAATTGACTTACAGAGCAGAAAAAAACCAAAATGGAACAAAAACGGCCTGTTGAGGGATTAATCGGTTTTCAATGCACTGTAGGTCAATGGAGACTTGACCTACAGCCTTTTTGACTTGAGAACCACCTTCCAATACGGATTAAGTTCTCAAGTCAAGACCCCACTGTAACTGCTTCCCCACCCAACCTTTCTCCCTCTACTAGCCCTCTTTTCTGGATTTTTAAAACCTAAACTATATTGCTGTTCCTCTGATTCCTCCTGACTTCAATTGCAGGCAAGAAGGAAGGAAGGAAGGAAGGAAGGGATCAAAGAGGCTTTGACACAGGCAAGCACACATGCCTCTCACAGCCACTTACCGCTGCTGCCACCAGTGTTATTTTTAATATTTGTTTTAAAGCAAAGCAAAGTGTGCTGCTTATATACTGCCCAATAGTGCTTCAGGCACTCTTTGGGTGGTTTACAAGTTAATTACGCAGGCTAAACATTCTCCCCCCCCCCAAGCGAGCTGGGTACTCATTTTACCAACCTCAAAAGGATAGAAGGCTGAATCAACCTTGAGACGGCTACCTGGGATTGAACCCCAGGTCGTGAGCACAGTTTTGGCTGCAGTACAGCAGTTTAACCACTGCGCCACAAGGCTCACTATTTTACAAGAGTAGTCTTTTAGACCAGATGGGTGGGGTATAAATCAATCAATCAATCAATCAATCAATCAATCAATCAATCAATCAATCAATCAATCAATCAATCAAATAAATAAATAAATAAATACA